ATGTTTGTCTGAAAAGTTATACTGATTTTCTTGTTATTCATTCTTATCAGCTCAGTAGTATAGGTCGAGCTGTTCCGGGACCCCCAATGAAGATTACTGTGACGGGGAATGTCACACGTGGCACTCCTGGGACTCCTGTGTCTACCCTAGGGGGCCATACACAAAAGGTAGAGGGACCTACATTTTCACGCATTTTTGTTCACTTTTAGTATGTATGATGTATATAGATACTCCATCTATGATGATGTGTTCTGGGAACTATATTTATGAGTTGTTCATGTGTATGCTTATTACTCAAATTGTAACAGAACTGTTTTTCTCTATCAAAACATTTAAGGACTGGAAAAAGTTTTCAGAGAAATTAACCAAAAATATTGTCAAACAGGTTATATTAGTGTCAACATCAGGAGCTAGTGGTGTGGGAGGTGGGATGTACCAGCGCTCCCTCAGTGTCCCAGTGATGAAAGGAGGGACAGGTGCAGCTCAGACAGTAATGCGAGGCGTTCCCACTGGCCCTGGGGCAATTCCTGCTACTCAAATTCAGCAAGGTAGAAGAGTTTTTTGTATGCTTTTATTTATTTCAGACACATTACAGTTCTGTTGATTACACTCTATATATATATATATATATATATATATATATATATATATATATATATATATATATATATATATATATATATATACACACACATAATTTTGCTTTCCTTTTCTTTCTTTTTTTCTTTTTTCCTTTTCTTTCTTTCTTTCTTTCTTTCTTTCTTTCTTTTTTCTCTTTTCTTCATCATTATAATTTTTATAACCTGCCACCAGAAAGTTATAGTAAGTGAAACATATGAAGTCTTATAAATCTAAATGAAGATGAACACTGTCTATTGTTATGTAGGAAACTGTATGAATGAGAGTAAAGATCTTCATATCACAATAGATGTATTTTGACTGGTTTCAGTTATGTATTTCGGAGCAAGATATAATTGTAACTAGTCAAAGACACCTCTTGCATGGTGAAGATATTCATTCTCATTCACATTTTCTGTTCAAATAGAGATTTTTAATACCTTTATATCACTTACCTTTGAATGATGAGTTCACTGAATTGAGGGAAGAATCATCATCCTTAATTACCAAGATTAAAATCAACTCCTCTGTTTCAGCTGGAGGTAACATTGGCTCTGGAAGTATGATTGTTCCTTCAACTTACTCGAGTGGTACTCCAACTGCCTCAGCGGGTATGGTTCAGTCAGGTAAGCATTGTTATCTCTCTCTCATGCAGAAGTAATTGTATTTCTGAATGAAAATTATTCTTCTGTTGCTTGAGCAGATGTTAAAAGATTTTGTCTTTATTTATTTTAGCATTTTGTATTGAAATGGGATTTGTTGGGAAAGGGAAGGGATGTCTTATTAAAAGAATAATATTTGTGAACAATTAAACATTATGTATCACGCAAAGAGAATAGAACAAAAATTCATTCTTACTTATAGTATACAAATAAGTCCAGATAGTGAAAATGTATAAAATTAACTGTACAGTATTCATTACAAATATGAGCTTGAAGGATTAGACTCTCCAGAGATGATTACACAAAAGAGTAATTATTTTCAGTTATGCCACCAGGAACCTATGTCAATAGAATGAGGCCGCGGGTCCCAAGCAGTGCTCTTCCCCCAAGGCCGCGTCCGCGATCAAACTCTCTTGTACTTCAAACAGAACCAGGGATAACACAGAGAGGTAAGAGCTTCAAGAATGATTGTTGTGTACTGAATGACTTTTTAGGTTTTAGGTTTTAGGTTTGGGTAGTGTTTGGAAATTTATTGCATATTATTGGTAGCTATCTGATTATATACAAATTTATAAATAGTTCAGTAGGTATGATTTTTCCTCAGTCCATTCTCTTGAAGTACATATAGATGCAGTGGGAAGTTCTTGAGAAGCATAACTAAAATGCTTTAAAGTTAAGCAAATTTCTCTCTGTTATTAGGCCTGTCAAGCAGAGTGGAGGTATCCTACTTCCTCTCTTATGTATTTAAATCAGTCTTTCCAGAGCTTATTTCCCCAACAGAACTTTCTCTGTTGGGAGAGATATCCTACAACCTGAAGGAAGAGGTCCTACAGATTCTAATGTTGAAAGAATTAATGTTCTGTTAAATTCAGTTAAAAAAATCAACAGCAGATTTATAATTTTAATTTTTTCCTTTACTAATAAGTGATGAAATAACAAGTTTCTGAGTTCCTTTTCTCTAATAAATAATTAAACCCTGGAACTTAAGAGTATTTTCTTAGTGTTGTGAATAATTGCTGTAAAGTCAATTGAAAATTGTATTTCTTTTTAAGTGTCCAATGGGAAGTGTATTCTAAATCTATTGATTTGCCAATGGATTGTGTTAGAAGAATAATATATTACAATTTGCAACCTGGCTGCATTGCACTATGCAAAAAAAGAAAAAAAAGAAAAAAATATAGTGAATATTGCTTCATTGAATTTATTGTGTCAGGTAATTTTGATCTTTGATTATAATAATAAAAAATTCTTAAATCTGATTATGACAGGAGACTCCTAGTGCCGTACTGCAAAAGTTCTGTTAACTATCAATGCAAAGATTTAAATGAAAGTTTGAACCAACAAGACTGTAAATAAATACTTTTTAGTGAGTTAGTCTGTTGAATGTGCATATCTTTGTGGTACTCGTAACTGGCTCATTGGTGATTTAGTACAAGTTTAGCCATTTATGTGTAAAAACAATTAAGCAAGTAAACTTACAATGGGCATGGCATATACGTACATGCCATACCCATCGGCAAAGCGTTAATAGTAATGCCATTACTTTTAACCCCTTGGTGCCGGGTGACGCCGATCGGCGTGTACACAAAGAGCTCGAAACCTGGCGTGCAGCCAAAGCGCGGCGAGCCAGTGATCCGGGCTGATGTCCCTGATGCCGCCTTTGTTTGTTTAAGCGTAGAGTTTTTTTTTCTTTTGTACACCCGGCGCCATTGGGTTAAAGTGTAATGCAGCCACCACTGGATGTCTATATATGAATAGACATTTTATATAGATAGATAGATATAGATAATTTCTTTCTTTTCTTTTCTTTTTCTTTCTTTTTTTAATTTGTTTTTTCCTTTTCTGTACACCTAGGAGTGGAGTCAGGGTCAGTCAGTGGAGGCAGCAGTCTAACCTCCAGCAGCCACATCAGCACCATGGCCTCCTACTCAGGTGGCCCCCCAAGTATAGTGGGTCAGGCTGCCTCTCAGCACAGCTTGCAGCCCACACATCTTATGACTCACCAGACTATACAGGCAAGCAAACTGGATTTACTCTTAAAATTTATATGTATACAGAGAGAAAGTCCTTTAGGTGTTCTGTTGATAGAGGAGTAGTGATCAGTAATGATGTACTTTTTTGTATTTATTTATATATTCGTTTATTTTCCTGACTGTTTTAGGTGCGACCCGGCACTCCTGTTACGCCAGGCAAGACAGCCATACAGATACGTCAGGAAGGCAGTAAGTTTATGACTGGAACATGTGTGTGCATATATGTGTTTACACAGTGTTAGTAATTTGAGTATATTAGCCTATAAGTCAGAATTTATTTCACTAGGAATACAATGATATTAACACATTTCTTTCAAAATTTCCCTATCAGCAGCAGGAGCAAAAATCATCACACACACTGTAGCAGGCAGCAGTAGTACCATGGGGGTTCCCAGTGGTAATTCAAGCTCAGGAGGAGGAAGCAGCAGTGCAGGAATTGGTCCCAGTGCCCCGAATAGATTAGTGGGTAGAACGCCAATCTTGCCACCTAGTTCCCCTCAAGGCTCAGGTGGGCCCCTCTATGTTGTCACAACCAACTCAGGAACAATTACGGTTGTCACTCGGACAGTTGCCGCAGGGCAGGGTAAGGAATTTATTTATTCTTTTCAAGTATGTCAAGGAAAAGTGTTCATTATTTTCTTGTTGATGCTATACTTTAGAAAGGAAAATTATTAGATATTTAGTTACTTAAGTCTCACAACTATATTGCAGGCACAGGACCTCGGGTGGTCACGGTAAATACCATCAACGCACCAAAGTCTTCAGTTAGTGGAGTTCGTACAGCATCTCCAGCAACTGTTGTATCTGTGGGGCCTAAAACTGTGCAGACAGTTAGAGTAACTCCTCAAGGCCCAGCTGGACTCAGGCCTGTTCTTGGCGGCACAAAATCCAATGTTATTGTTGTTCACAAAGGAGCCCCTCCTCCAGGAACACGCCCAGTGGGTATTCAGGGCATTAGGGTGAGTTTCGTAGAAGTTTACATATAAATTTATAAATGTATATATGAGTAATTCTCTTTTATAATACTGGAATATTTTACTTATAGTTTTTCTTTCTTTTCTTTCTTTGTTTTCATTTGACATTTATAAAAAAGGAGATAGTAGTAAAAATGTATAACAAATTAAGGATGTGCATCTTTTATATCAATCCTCAGGATGTTCCTACAAAGATTACCATTGGGAAGGGCCTTAGCAGCAGTGGCAGCACGACTGTCCTGCAGAAGCCAGCTGGCCCACGGGGAACTGTGACAGCTTCCAGTGTGACCCCCAGCAGCAGTACCCCAACGTCCCAGGGCAATGTCATCGTGGTAGATCTGAGTCCGGAGGGCAGCACTGTTAGCAACAACAATGCCCTGGCAGATATCCTACAGGCAACAGGTATACTGGGTGCAGGCGGACCAAGTAGTGTTGGTAGTGGGAGCATCGCAGCTGGTGGTAGTGGTGGCGATGACGTAGGCAGCAATGAGGGGGAAACCCCAAGAGTCCCTCCTTCTTCTTGCTCGGTTCCATCTCTCTCAGGGACAGAATCCACTTCTACAAGTTTGGCAACATCTACTCGATCTTCCACCCCAACAGTCAGCCAGTCTGTCAGTCAGTATCTCTTCCTTGATTAAAGTGCCTAGGAACATGCCAGTATGTTTGAGTTCTTGTGCTGAATTTTTCCCCCTCCCATTGTTTAGACAAGTATTGAGTGCAAATGAATTAGGATCCAGTCATTTGCATTGTGGTTTTGTACTCTTGGCCTGGTCAGAGCTTAGTTATTAGCTTGACACTACAAAGGTTATTATTATTAAGCTTATTTGATGGGTAAAAAGAATAAAGAATATGTACATATATACATATGTATATATATGCATATATACATACATATATGCATACATATGTACATACATATGTATCTACATATAAACACACATACATACATAAATACATACATACATACATATAACATACACATATATATATATACACATTTACATATACACATACACATATATATACACACATTTATATATACACATACACATACATGTATGCTTATATACATATCTACATAGACATCTATGTTTACATATATACATATCTACATAGACATATATGTTTACATATATACATATCTACATAGACATATATGTTTACATATATACATATCTACATAGACATATATGTTTACATATATACATATATACACATACACATATACATATACATATACATATACATATACTTATACATATACATATACATATACATATACATATACATATACATATACATATACATATACATATACATATACATATACATATACATATACATATACATATACATATACATATACATATACATATACATATACATATACATATACATATACATATACATATACATATACATATACATATACATATACATATACATATACATATACATATACATATACATATACATATACATATACATATACATATACATATACATATACATATACATATACATATACATATACATATACATATACATATACATATACATATACATATACATATACATATACATATACATATACATATACATATACATATACATATACATATACATATACATATACATATACATATACATATACATATACATATACATATACATATACATATACATATACATATACATATACATATACATATACATATACATATACATATACATATACATATACATATACATATACATATACATATACATATACATATACATATACATATACATATACATATACATATACATATACATATACATATACATATACATATACATATACATATACATATACATATACATATACATATACATATACATATACATATACATATACATATACATATACATATACATATACATATACATATACATATACATATACATATACATATACATATACATATACATATACATATACATATACATATACATATACATATACATATACATATACATATACATATACATATACATATACATATACATATACATATACATATACATATACATATACATATACATATACATATACATATACATATACATATACATATACATATACATATACATATACATATACATATACATATACATATACATATACATATACATATACATATACATATACATATACATATACATATACATATACATATACATATACATATACATATACATATACATATACATATACATATACATATACATATACATATACATATACATATACATATACATATACATATACATATACATATACATATACATATACATATACATATACATATACATATACATATACATATACATATACATATACATATACATATACATATACATATACATATACATATACATATACATATACATATACATATACATATACATATACATATACATATACATATACATATACATATACATATACATATACATATACATATACATATACATATACATATACATATACATATACATATACATATACATATACATATACATATACATATACATATACATATACATATACATATACATATACATATACATATACATATACATATACATATACATATACATATACATATACATATACATATACATATACATATACATATACATATACATATACATATACATATACATATACATATACATATACATATACATATACATATACATATACATATACATATACATATACATATACATATACATATACATATACATATACATATACATATACATATACATATACATATACATATACATATACATATACATATACATATACATATACATATACATATACATATACATATACATATACATATACATATACATATACATATACATATACATATACATATACATATACATATACATATACATATACATATACATATACATATACATATACATATACATATACATATACATATACATATACATATACATATACATATACATATACATATACATATACATATACATATACATATACATATACATATACATATACATATACATATACATATACATATACATATACATATACATATACATATACATATACATATACATATACATATACATATACATATACATATACATATACATATACATATACATATACATATACATATACATATACATATACATATACATATACATATACATATACATATACATATACATATACATATACATATACATATACATATACATATACATATACATTTACAAGCGATAGTCAGAGAATGGTCATGCACATTCCGTATACTTCATTTCTTTTTCTGTCGATGTTGAATTACAAGGAAATGCAAGAGAAACTGTAGCTGATCTCTTCAGTAGTTGCTGTTTGTAGTTGAAAAGCTGTTTGCCAATGTTATTTATGCTTTTATCTGCTTCATTCGAAAACTGATGTGTGGAAGACAAGCCAATATCTGAGACAAATCCATATGTATTTAGATAAGTGGTCTTAAAAGAAAATTGTGTATGGCCAGAATCAGAATGGGTTACACATATTTGGCCATGGATGGAGAGTCATATTTAGTTTACAAAATTTACCATATATTGATTCATGTTGAAAGCCAAATACCTCAATTATCCAGCATTTGTCAGTATTGTATAAATTATTTTTCAAGGCTGTATTTCAGTGTGATGTTATTAAATCAAAGCCTCATTGACTTCAAATTTTATAGTGGTCTTAGGTTTTGGCTTGACTGTAGTCTTGCCAGTGTGTGTATTATTAGCCATTGAAAAAAAAAAAATTATCTCTGAGAAATATTGAAATGATGATGCAAAGATGTGAAGTAAAGGCACTCTTGGTCTTGCTGATTATTTGTTCTTTGATATAATTATGCACAAGATGCATGAATGAATGACTGGTTGTTAGCATAGGGTGGATATGTCATAGGGGACGAGTGGTCTCTTTTATGGAACTATTTTTGCGGGAATGAAATTTGGTGACACGAAGAATGGAGATTGGTAAAATTATTGATAAAACCTAAAAGCTTTTGCTGTTAAAAAGCTATTGGTCAAAAATACCCTAAAAACATTATATAAGGTAACATTAAGTCATTTATCATAGTGTAAACCTAAATGTATTCTAACAATGTAACCTTTCACCATAATGTGGAAGCCTTAATGTGAGCTTAGCTATGAGCTTTTTAAGGTATCTACTCCCAACAGTTACGTTGTGATCCTTTTCTATTGTATATTATATATATATATATATATATATATATATATATATATATATATATATATATATATGTATGTATTGAGAGAGAGATAAGTATATAAATAGATATGATAATTTGTATATTCATATCTATATTTATATATATGTATATATATTTTTATATATTTTTATTTATTTATATACATGTTTATTTATGTATTATTGCCATACTTCTTTTATTCCATCTTGTAGAGTATAACCTGGACTAGGCTGATAAGCACTTACAAGACTTGTTTCTGGTCTTGCTAAAGCATATATTTAGCTTATGAATGGTTGCTGCGTTGAAAAACCCATTCATAGATCTTCTCTTGTGATGGGAAGGTTGTCTGTCATGGTGAAATATGCATTTAGTTGGTGATCTATATTTTGTGTTATATGTATTTCAAAAGAGTATTAGATTTCTTTCCTTGTGTAATTAAAGTTCTGTTTGGCATTAAGGTTGGTCAGATATATTATGGAAAATCAGAAGAAAAGAGATATTTACTGTTAGATGGGAAGTATGGTTTTCATTTTTGGGTGTTGAAAAATAAATTTAGAAGAACATCACACACACACACACACACACACACACACACACACACACACACACACACACACACACACACACACACACACACACACACACACACACACACACACACACACACACACACACACACACACACACACACACACACACACACACACACACACACACACACACACACACACACACACACACACAGATATATATATATATATATATATTTTTTTTTTTTTTTATAATGAGATTATCAATTACTATAGAAATGGCAACACCCTTTTACCAGTTAAAAGACAAAAAGGTATAATTAATTCATAAGTAGATCTGTGTGTAGATATTCTCTTTTTTAAAAGGATATACCCAGTATCATGGTAAATTATTTATTGAAATATTTTCTGAAGAAAAATCATATTTTCTTAGTGCTGTCTTTGAGCCATAAAATTTAATGCAATGGTATAATCTGTAATATCACTACTATAATGAACAGATATATATACTCTACATAAGCAGTAGAGAAAATACTTTGCTGTCTGTATTAATTCTTTCACTTACATGCAATTACATACACGTACACATATTTACACTCATATGCATACTTAAACTAACACGCACACATTTGTTTACACTTGTGTGTACAAATACAATTACAATTACTGTTACATTTACACTTGCACTCATATTAACAGTTACATTTGTGTTTTCTTTTACATTTAAGATTACTGTTACAATTAATAGCGCACACACACCACACAATACCCACACGTGCGCATGCACACACACACACACGCACACACGCACACACACATTACACACATGAGCACGCACACTCGCACACACACGCACGCATGCACGCACGCACGCACGCACGCACACACACACACACACACACACACACACACACACACACACACACACACACACACACACACACACACACACACACACACACACACACACACACACACACACACACACACAACACACACACAACACACACACACACACACACACACACACACACACACACACACACACACGCACATACACACGCACATACACACACAGAGCTGGATAGTCTTGTACCAAGAAAGTTATTGGTATTGTTTCTCCTTCCAAAGGAATGAAACAGTATTACTGCATTGTCTCATTTTCAGTGTCAGCTGATGGAGCACCATCTGTGAGAGCCTCAGGAAATAACGCCACCAGTCATAATACAGTCACTAGCACAGTGACACCTACGAGCAGTCTGTCTGTGAGCACCCTGCCCAATGCTGTCACCTCCTCAGCGAGTGCAATCATTACCACAGCCTCCGTGAGCAATAGCAGTGGCAGCAGTAGTGGCTGTGCTAATGAAGGGGGGGGAGGCAATGGAAGTAGCAGTGCAGGCAGTGGCGAAGGGGACGGAGAGTGGCTGAACTTGGGTCTGAGCAGTGAAGATTCCCCAGGACATAGTCTGCCTGAGGGACAAATGCAGATGTTGGGTGAGCAGCCATTGTATTGTGCGGGATTTATGGAAGAAAAGATTCTTTACAAAACTGTTTTGTGAAATTTATGTACCAGAGTGTGAAAATATTGCAATATAAAATGCTTGTTAGGTGTGCTGCTCTTGTTTAATTAGATAATCAGACCTGTTATTGAAAAAGTAGCAGCATTTATTTTTTTGTTCATAAATTATATTCTTATCATTTTCATTTTACACTTTATAATATAGATTATAATGTATCTAGGAAGAAAATGAGAATATATATCATGATCAATCTGAATTTTTATTTTTATTTTTCATATATCAGAGGAGGCAGTAGAGATCCTAGGCCGAGGTGACAAGGAATCAGCAAGGAACCTCCTACGACAAGCAGGAATAGAACTGCTAGACTCTCCTGGAGACTTGGGAGAACAAGGAGGGGTATGATATATAACTGCTATTAGTACATCCAATCTGAGTAGTTCAGTAATTTTTTACGTTCTTGTATATCTTAGAGTATCTTAGAATAGCATTATCTAGATGGTTGCACAATTCTCCAGGGATGTGTAAAGATATACTAATCACATATACTAAACCTCAGAACACCTTTGGTCATATTAATTTTAGGTATGAAGAAATACATAACTCTCATTTAGCCCAGTAGTCCAAATGCTTTCTATGTGATTCAGAAAATGAGCTATATGATGAACTTGTGATACATTTCCTCATTAGGAGGCAACATCAATGGCAAGCCTGATGGCAGGCCTAGCCAGCCAACTACCTGGAAGCCATCTGGATGAGGGCCCCATGCCACCTGTCGGAGAGCTTGACCCTGCAACTGGTCTTTTTTACAACCCCTCAAGCAGTGAGTCACTTTTTATTGGGTTGGTCATGTATAAAACTAATCATTCCGACATAGCAATGGTTTCTCGCTTATGTTTGATACTGCCCTTTAGAATTTATATCTACTTGCTCATGTGAGATACAGTGATATATTACTAAGTAGTATTTACATATATACATACATATATATATGTACGTATATATGTGTATATATATATAAATATACATATATATATATATATATATATATATATATATATATATATATATATATATATATATATAAACATACACATATACATGTAAACATACATATACAAGCAAACATACAAATGTACAAAAGGTATGAATGAGAATGAATATTTTCACATTACAAGAGATGCATTGACCAGTTTCAAGTTACATTTCATCAGAAATGCCTGATATAATCGAAACCAGTCAAGTACACCTCTTGTATTGTGAAGATATTCATTCTTATTAATACCTTTTATACATTTGTCAACATGAATATGGTTCTCTCTCTCTCTCTCTCTCTCTCTCTCTCTCTCTCTCTCTCTCTCTCTCTCTCTCTCTCTCTCTCTCTCTCTCTCTCTCTCTCTCTCTCTCTCTCTTTCTTTCTCTTTCTCTTTCTTTCTCTTTCTCTCTCTCTCTCTTTCTCTCTCTCTCTCTTTCTCTTTCTCTCTCTTTCTCTCTCTTTCTCTCTTTCACTCTTTCACTCTTTCTCTCTTTCTCTCTTTCTCTCTTTCTCTCTCTCTCTCTCTCTCTCTCTCTCTCTCTCTCTCTCTCTCTCTCTCTCTCTCTCTCTCTCTCTCTCTCTCTCTCTCTCTCTCTCCCCCCCCCCCCCCCCCCTCACACACACACACACACACACATATATACACACACACACATATACACACACACACACATACACACACACACACATACACACACACACACATACACACACACACACACACACACACACACACACACACACACACACACACACACACACACACACACACACACACACACACACACACACACATATACACACACACATACACACACACATATACACACACACACACATGTACACACACACACACACACACACACACACACACACACACACACACACACACACACACACACACACACACACACACACACACACACACACACACACACACACACACACACACACACACACACACACACACACACACACAACACACACAACACACACACACACACACACACACACACATATACACACACACACACACACAACACACACACACACACACACACACACACACACACACACACACACACACACACCAATATTACCAATTTCACCATTAATGTTCTTTACAAATTCATTAAATGTTGTTTTGTTTTTCAGCGGAGAGCTCTTCTGACACCAACAGCAATTCAGGTACGATGATGTTTCTATGTATGAAACATGGTTATAATGAAAGAGTATATTCATAGTAGCAAAAATGATAAAAACAGTTGAACATATGATCATGGTTTATCATTAATTTTTTCAAGCAATTGCTGCTCAGTAATTCTAGTACCAGCCTGTACAGAAAGCATGCATTTGTATTCATTCATTCATTCATTGCTGTGGTTATATTTATCAGCTACTGAATGTTGTGCCATTTTTCTTCCAGCATCAGAAGATCTGGAGACAACGGAAGAAAGAGAATCTCAGGAGTAGTGGCACTTTCTCGCCAGCTCTGAAAAGCCGAAAGAGAACGATAGTAGCTATATTTTATAAATGTCCCTTTATGGTAGATGAAAGTATTCAGCAATATAGAGTATATTTCAGCAGTTTCTATATCTTCACATTTTGTGTATATACTACCATAAGCTCTTTGCCATCTTGTATCTATTTATGTTTGACTTCCATTTTGTTGTAAAAGAAAATTTATATGAAAGGTCTATGCTCACTCAAGGTCACATGTGAATAGATTGTTTTATTTTCATACAGAGCATGGGTCAAATGACAATAGTAAGATATGCTAAATCTTTTTTTTTTTCTTTGTTTAGACAAGAGTTCTTTTGTCTATAAAGTACTTTTATATATATAAGTAAGTCTTTGGATACAATCAGGAAAAGTGTCATAGGTTCATGAATCAAGAAGAAACATTGTCAGTGGTCTCAGTAAATGTTGTAAATAGAATCCTGGTTTCTTAAATTTCTATCTCTTCTCTTCTTTTCTTTTCTCTTCTCTTCTCTCCACTCCTCTCCTTTCTTCTCCTCTCTTCTCTTCTCTTCTCTCCACTCCTCTCCTTTCTTCTCTTCTCCTCTCCTCTCTTCTTCTCTTCTCTTCTCTCCTCTGCCTCCTGCCTTTCCTTCAGTTAAACCAGAAGCTTCTGTATCAACCTGGTTTGCCAATGCAGTGATATGAATATATCTGTTTTTTAATATGAAATCAGTTTTTCATAATCAAGAAGAAATCCAATTCATTCAGACTTATAGAATAAAATTTTAGATTACTGGTTTTGTGTCTTCTGTGTCTATGTATATATGTGTACATAACATATAATGTAAAGTGGCACCCTCAGATTTGTACAACATTGTTTACTCTACCCTGCCTGGAAAGCATGTTAGTGTATATACTGATCAGGATGAATCAATTTACCCAGTGATGATAGTGTGTGTTTTATAAGGTTTCATTAGATTTCATCTGCACATTATGAATTTTCCTCATTCTCATGTTTTTGAAGATATAATTGCATCTGGGAAGTGGTGTGTGGATTTGAGGTTTGACAGTTGATAAATGTTTTTATCATTGGCAAGTCGATTATCTTACAAGATATAGTTTTGAGGTTCAGGATTGTTAAAGTTTGCTTTTTTTTTCATTTATTTGTATTCTATGTACATGTTTCCATGTTACAGATATTTCAATCATTTGTACTTGTTTTTTGCAAGTTCTATTAAATGTGTTCCAAATTCATTGGCACCAGAAACTGCGGGCAGATTCATGTGTGTTTGTTTTGTGTGTATATATGTGTGTATGTGCGTGTATGTTTGTCTGTCCCTCTGTCAGACTGAGTCTGTGGCTGTTTGTTAAAAGAAAGTATAATGGTTGTGCTGAGATTTTTTTTCTTTTTTTTTCTTTTTTTTTTTCCTGTTGGGCTTTTAACATGATCAGGTGCTTCTCAACTCGTATAGCGTAGCTGAAATGTACTTACAAAGTGTAGAATCTTCCTAAAGGGAGACACAAAAGTGGTATAGTCACTTGGTTTTACAGTTGTACTGACCCCACTTGATAAATATCAGGACCTCTATGATAACATTTTTTTTTCTCCAAAATTAAGAATAAAAGGAAAAAGAAAATGTGAAAGATTTTCTAAACAAAAGTTAACCTTTGGGTATCTTAGATCATTGGTATTGCTTATAGCTTATATGGAAAAAGAATGAGAGAAAAAATATATAAATTTAATACTACCTGGCTATTTTTATATTTATTTTTCTTCGGAACTTCCACAGTTTCTAAATTAATTTTCAATTGTGAGTTTAACACATTATTGTTTCTTTATTCATTTAGATTTTTTAGGAGAAACTACAGGTACTGTA